AACTTACATACCATCAACGGATAACTGGCAAGCTGATAAAGCATCTCGAGTCTTACAGTCAGAAACTGAATGGTCTTTGGACCAAGATGTTTTCAACGGAATAAAGTATGATCTAGGCCAACCCGAAATAGACTTGTTTGCATCAGCAAATAACTATAAATGTAAACGGTACATTTCCTGGTTAAGGGACCCGGGATCGGAAACGGTCGACGCTTTCACCATATTTTGGGGAAATATCTTTTTTTATGCCTTTCCCCCTTTCTCCCAGATCCTTAGGGTATTGCAAAAAATCATAAATGACAAGGCGGAAGGAATTTTAGTAGTTCCATATTGGAAATCTCAACCATGGTTCCCATTGCTCACAGAAATGTTAGTAGGCAAACTACTAAGACTTGGGCCTAATGATAACCTTTTATCTTGTCCCTTTAGTCAGAAGAAGCACCCTCTTCACAAAGACCTTATCCTGGTAGCAGGCAAACTATCTGGGAGGCATTTAAACGTAAAGGAATATCGGAAACCGCAATAGGAACGATGGTAGGATCCCTGAGCGAGAATACCATAAAAAAATATGGAACAACTTATAGGATTTGGTGGGAATATTGCGGAAGGAAAAATATTTCTCCATTTGATGCGGAAATAGCAGTCTTATCATTTTTTCAAAATATTCTTGATTCCACTGAGAATATTTTTGGTTCCTTTAACTCGCATCGGGCAGCACTGTCTTTGATCTCTTCAAAGGATTTAGGAGAAAATGCACAAATTAAAAGATTTTTAAAGGGTGTGTTTAGAATGAGGCCTCCTAAACCCAGGTATAATTGTACCTGGGATCCGCAATTAGTATTAAATTATTTCAAAAACTCTTCCGAGTGTAACCTCAAGTTTATATCCTATAAATTGGCTAGCTTACTGATGCTGGCTACTGGTGAAAGGTTGCAAACAATTTCACTGATTAAGTGCTCGAACATACTTTTTTCCAATACTGGCGTAACGATTCTCATACCGGATTTAGTCAAAACGTCGAGACCCAATTTATGCCAACCCAGTCTGTGTTTACCATATTTTCAACAAGACACAAAATTGTGTGTTGCAACGACCTTGAAGGAGTACTTAGATGCCACCAGAACACTTAGGGGGCAAGATCAGGACTTCCTTTTTATAACTTATTGTAAACCACACAATATGGCTTCTAAACAAACTCTCAGTCGATGGGTTAAAAGTGTTCTTCAGGCTGCAGGAGTTGACACTACTGTATTTAAAGTGCATTCAACAAGACATGCAGCAACTTCTTCGGCGTTTAGGAAGGGAGTTTCAATAGATGATATAAAAAAATCGGCCGGTTGGAGCAAGGAGTTTAGCACCTTCGGAAAATTTTACAACAGACCTTTAGTCGCTTAAATTTAGAATAGGGGAACTTGGTTTTGGTTTAATCTTTAGTACCTAGATTTTGAGAATGGTTTTTTCTTTTTATTGTTTCGCTAAATAGTTTAACCACTTGGCTTTTGTCTTTTTTCTTGTTTATTATTAAAATTATGTGTTTTATGGCAACTAATTTGATTTAAACATCTACACAATTATGTAATATTGAGGACTGGACCTGAAATATAATTAATCGATCAAAAGAACTTACCTGAAGTTCGATCGTAATAATATGAAGGTCCAGTCCGAAAATATTACAACCCTCCCTTCCCAAAAACCCCAATAAGATTGCCTATAAAACACAATAGGTAATGGTCTTTGAAACAATGAGGATGGATCGATCGGATCGACGGGAGCCCAGAGGGCGCGACCAGCGCCATGATAGGCAGGACCGGATTTTTATTTTACTTTGAACCTTGTGCCAGAAGTAGGAGACTAACGCATACTACACAATTATGTAATATTTTCGGACTGGACCTTCATATAATTACGATCGCACTTCAGCTAAGTTCTTTTGATCGATTAATTATTTGGCATTGCCGCCACACTTATGGAAGGAGGACGAATTACCCATTCGACCCTATATAACTACCGTTTATAGCCGAAAAACAATTCGATCCTGGTACGAGGTGAACTTCTAAAACAAGCTAAAATTATCTTCTGGGACGAATGCACATAAAAAATCACTCGAAGCCATGGACAGAACATTACAAGACTTGCGAGGAAACTCTGACGTGATTGGAGGAATTCTATACTCATACTCTCGGGCGATTTTCGTCAAACACTTCAAGTTATCCCAAAGTCAACACCAGCAGACGAAATCAACGCATGCTTAAAAAAATCATATCTCTGGCCAAACATACAAATAATGCGACTAACAAAAAATATGAGAGTTGAACTATCAAAAAACGAAACAACAGCACATTTTGCTCAACACCTTTCACAAATAGGCGAAGACATCCTACTGACCAGACGGAATCGATCGACACCATGCCATTACACTGCCTTCGAGTCCTTCGACTGAAAATTGGATCTCCAATCATACTACTTAAAAATCTCAACTCACTAAAACTATGTAATGGAACAAAGAAAATCGTCGAACAGCTATCGAATAACATCATCGAAGCTGAACTTATGACTGGAAAGGACAAAGGACAGACAGTATTTATCCCCAGAATACCAATGATCTCTACTGAACTACCATTCCAATTTCAAAGACTATGTAGCAAAACGCCCCAAGTACTCTATGTAAATGGTTAGATGGTAAATGGCGAGCGGTATATTGATGGTGTTTATATACTTGGAGCTTGCTATGTAAAATCTGTGGAAGAGGGTCTATTTGTAAGAGAGAGAAACAAACTAATGAGGTGTACTAAATTATATTTTATTTCACATAAAACCCAAAAATCAATCAGCCAAATATCTTCCAATACTTTACATCCTTCTTTAGTTCTATAAAATCAATACTTCACATCCGTTCTATATTGTTATTTTACGGACCACTGAAATATCCCTACTAAATAAGAAACGCCCTATTCATACTATTTCTCAAAATTATAATTCAACTCATTTTACTACATCCGAATCATTCCTAATAACTATCCTTTACCTAGTTAAATAATTCCTTAAAATCTCTAAGTCCTTTACCTATGAAAACCCAAAATAATTACCTATTTGTTTATCAACTAATTTATTCTCATAAAATCTTACAATGACTTCTACTTGTAAAATAAACTCCCTAATTCAAAATTCCCTTCATGAACAATAAATTCTTTTAACAGCTTTCCCATATTCTAAGACAATTCTATTTCATGGACAAATTCTAATATAAGTTTCCTTTTAACAAGTTTCCAATATTTCAAGAAAACAATTCTATTTTATGACATCAAATTTCTTTTCAAAATTTCCTATTGCAGTTAATAGTTTATCAGAACAATTCTATTTTAAGTTTCCTTTTTAACAACATTCCAATATTTCAAGAAAACAATTCTATTTTATGTCATCAAATTTCTTTTCAAAATTTCCTATTGCAGTTAATATAGTTTATCAGAACAAATTCTATTTTCAGATTCCTATGCCTAGCTAATAAATCCAACTGTTTAATTCATAATTCCAACTCAAAATTGTATATTGTTAAATGCATTATAAGTACTCTTCATATTTTTTGTTGCACATTTAAATGTCATTATATCAGAAGGTAATTAAGTTTTGCGATAATGTTTCCTTTATAAAACACTCAAGTTATTAAGTTTATTTTAATAAAGTTCCGCCGTGATTAAAATCAAAAGTTTTCTAGTAAAATTCACACAAAGTCATGTTCATCAAAATAAATCTTGTCACTAAAAAGTAGGTACTTACATTTTGTCCATAAAACACACGTAAAATTATTTAATTAACTACTCAAAATATTTAACTAACACGCACATAATTTATTGAACGAGTTTCCAAAGTTATTACTTTCTCGATTTTTCGTAAATTTTCTAAGTTAAAACATACCCGAGGCAAAACGCCTTAAAGGTAACTTTTCGCGAAACTGGGCAGACTTTACTTCAAACTGGACTAGACTGTTGTACAGATAACTGGCCACTATCTTCCGCGGGTTTTATATCAATTCGCTCTCCCCGCAAAAATTATTAATTTTCCCCCAAATCGTCAATATAGGCGGTCGTTAGCTTAGCAATCCGAATTTCATTGGACGTCCTCATTATGATTAAAAAGAATGATGCAACTTCCTTGAATTTTATTTTATTTTTAGTCTAAAATCAATTAATTTATGTCGCAATAATCTGATTTATTGAGGTCAAAACGTTTTTGGTTCAAGAATGCCATCTATCATTCGATTTAATTAGTTACGCATGGCCTTCACTAACGAAAAAGTTCATTGATCGGTTTATTAGTGATGTCATCACCTTGTAATCGTTTTTATTATTTTTAAGAATTTAATTTAGAAGACGACCAAGCGAGGGAGGTCGAACTACGTAGCGTTAGTTTGTTCCATCTTTAATTTATCGTTACACTTTTAAAATACCGGAATTAAGTTTTTGATTGTTTGATTATTTATTTGATTTTTACAGTAAATGACATGGTGATTTATGAGTCTATTTTCTCGGAATATTACAACTATAATTTCCAATCAAATCAGCCTAGTTTCACAATTAACAGAGCGCAAGGACAAACTTTAAAATATTGCGGCATCAACCTCAAAGACTCCTGCTTTTCTCACGGTCAACTTTAAGTATACGTAGCTTGCTCTCGATTAGGAAATCCGAAAAATTTATACATATACATACCCTGGACAACGAAATGAAAAATGTTATTATTTATGAACAAGTATTGTAGTTGGAATATATTTCAATAAATTTTTTTTATTCCGACTACCACATCACACAATCTCATATCAACTTCCTGAAAAACTTTGATTTTATACAGTCAATTAGTTCAGTAAAATCTGTTACCTACTGTTTGTGAACTGAGTTTTAGTGAACCCGGAATCCGTGTGACATTATCGTACGTAGGTAAAGGGGTACTACCGCCAACTATATTTGAGGGCATTTGTTATAAAAAAAAAAACTCTCCAAATTAACAAATTTTTAATACACATTAAGATAATACTAAACAAGTAAATACAATTTCAAAACAAAAAGGTAAATTGACTACTTTTACAATAAATATGAAAGTAGAATACTGATGCCTATTTTCTTATTTATTTGTTTAAAACTTAATTTCTATCGCAATCTTTTATATATATAATTGGCCAACCACATGCTGCCCGTGAAGAACTTCAGTAGCGCCATCAGTCGAAAGATTTGTTTAAAGCTGCCATCTGAAAAAAGTTATATTATATGGTATTAAAAAGCGCCAAAGTTTCAGTTATGCAATGAATCAAATTCTTATCTTTTGTGTGTTAAACTTATAGCATATTTAGGAAATAACTTACTTAAAATAACAAAAAACAAAAACGAGAATCCAGTCAAAATACATATTAACGAGTACTCTTTGGTCGCCTCTCCTTTAACTGTCAAACCCAACAAAGGAGTACCGACGTGCTGTAAGGCAGCAATACTCAGTACAATTTGGACAGCACCAAATAGAAGAACACCTTCACTAAAATAGTCCGAAATCACTGAAAAAAAGAAAATCATTTTAAAAAAATCGCACACAAACGCATTGGGTTATTCTTACTGAAATATCCTAAGGCCCCCAACCAGCTCAAGAACCAAATAATTTTAGCTCGCCACCTTTTTTCTATGTTAATCCAAAAAGCGGCGCCTGAAAATATCAAGCTGGCCAAAGATATGGTGCCAATCAAATTTGAAAGATGTCTCAATTTTATGTCGCTCACTTCCTGAAAAAAAACTTAACTCAAGTCCAAAAATTAATTCCCTGAAAAATTCTTACCTGGAACAAAAAACTTGGATACAATCCAAAGAAAACGAACAACGACCATTTGGTGGTCATGACGGTTAATAAAGATTTGTAAAATGTAGGTTGCTGAAGTAGCTCTATGGAACTTCTGGAGAAAGCTGAAATCGGGTTGGCTTCGATTGTTGTCGGCATGAAAACGCCCGAATGTGCTTGAGGCGTTTCTGGTTGGGCCTCCAGAGCATCATAGGAATAGGTGTTGTTATTGTTCACTGGTGTATCCGAAAATAAAGGAATTGGGAATCTGAAAAGAGAAATCATTGTGAATATTGTTTGGGTTAGTTTGTCATTTGTTTTTCACTTCAAATTGAAAAGGGTCTCAGGCTTAAACTGAACAAAGGTTCCTCCATTGTGTGTCTTTAGATCGTTTAAGTCATAGTACCAGGTTGGCATACGTTATATTTGGCGACCGTGACAGGAACAGGACATGTTTTTCTGTGAAGTTCAATAAAATGCTTTCTTGGGGATCTACAAAGATGTGAATCAGATGCTTGGAGAAGATAGATGTGACATGTTGAATGTAGGAGTACTAGATGAACAGATTGCGAATATTAGTGACTTCAAGTTAGCTTTTATTTGATTTGATGCTATCTACTGATGAGAGTACTGAGTTGTTTGATGCTGAGACGCAATTCGCTTTGGCTAATGGAATGTCTTGCAAATATTATAAATTGAAGATCCAAGTCGAACACCTGAGTAGCAATAAAGCTGGTTCTATTTCTTTTATTTAAAGTCTTGTGAAAATAAGTTAAAAAGCTACTTAAAATTAAACCTAAAAAGTTTTGAAGTGATCTGAAGAAATGTCTGCCATTCGAAAGTCAATTCCGCTGGATCGACGAAGATTTCAATATAAAAGAAGAAGACAAATTCAAGTATTTGTTACAATCTACAATTCCGAGTTCACGTGTCCACCAGTTAGCCAACAGTTACCTTGCCACTAGTATGAAAACACGTTTTGGTCGACAAGATCTTCTAGCGCAATTTTATTTTATGTACGAGAGCTTTTTAAGCTAGTTTTTAGTAATTTGAACACTAATGAGCTCTCCAGTTTTCATGGTATAATGGAGTTTCAGTTAAGTTCCTTGGAAACTCTAAGGGTAACTTCTTCTGATACTTGTGCTGCAATGTCATATCCAGTCCACTTCATATTGACAATTCCCACCCTTCATGACAGGCTAGAGACGTTAATGGAATTTGTGAAGAATAAGAAGTCGAAAATAAAGACAGAATTGCATTAGATAACTCCTCGATTTCAAAATAGGGTCAAAGAAAAGAGGACATCCGATAATCCTGATAAGGTTTTACATACAGCTGCTGATTTATTGAACAAGATTTTTTTTAATTGTATTTTTTTGTAAAGGCCCCCACGTTAGTGATAGATGCGGTAAAGTTTTTAAATGAAGTCTTCCAGAAAAGAAGAAGGTAGTTTCTGAAAACGTGTGCCTGAAATTCGGAGCATATCGCTCGAAGATGTAGAGTCAAGTTCACTTGTTCTACTTGCTATGGAAACACGCTTCCATTGTATGTCCAAAACATGAGCATTCAAAATCATATGGAACAGAAGTGTGCGAAAATATTTCAGGCGCTGAACATAGTCTCTGCCAAATCACACGTATCAGATTCTCTTCAGACAATATTGGCCCTAAATGGCAGTAAAGAGACAATAAAATCGGATCATTAAATATAAATAATGTATCTTCAATGGGCAATTGACAAACTTTCACCACAGCACGTTGAATTAGACCAGTGGCAGTTCTCATCGAAACTACACGAACAAACTTATCTGTTCTAGGATGCAGTTCGATTATACAACCGAGTCGCCAGTGATATGAGGGAAGATTGTCGTCACGCACTAATACCATCGATCCACTTTCCATTTTGCTCTTTGTTGCAGTTGAGAAACATATTCTTTGTGCCATCTATTCCAAAACTGCTGCTACATAGCTTCCAATTGTTGAAGAAGTGATAAACGATTGGAGGGTAAATGATGAACTTCAGGATAGGATTTTGATAAAAGAGAGCGCTCAATAGGGAAATGTGCCAGAGTCAGCACTTCTAAATCATTATAGGGTCCCTTGACATGGGCGTCAGGGGACTGGAATTTAATATGCTTTCTATCTGGGTAACAATTGTATAGGAATGTTCAAGGGTTAGGAGAACACCATCAATGACATGTTTTATATGGTGTTAGGCAGACTTCGCTCGGGCTTCCCAGAGCCCTTCTTGGTGAGGTGAGTAGGCTGCAATGAAATGCCACGTAATATTTGATTTTATTGATATCTCCTTCGATATGTTTTTACAATTGGAGTTTAAAAATGAGATGCTTACTTTCCATATGAAAAAGATCAATGAAAGGAGATATACTAAAAAGTTTGCCTTTGGAATTGACTGAAGAAGATTTCCAAAGTTCCTCGAGCCCTTCTGGAAAAGACTCCTTCTGACCAAGTTCAATCAATGTTTTAATAGACTGATTTAACTCTGTCAATGTGAGATCACCAACGCGCGTTTCGTTTCGATCTTTACCTTATTTGTGGTTGCGTAAATTTTGCGAAAAACGCAAACAATGAGCAGCAAGCAACATTTTTAATTGGAGATAAAGATGAAAATCTAGAAAATGGAAATGCCGTATTTTCTGTCATGCTCTGAACGACCTGTTTTCGACTTTCTGGTAGTTTTTTTAAAACTATTGGATTCTGAATGGAAATATCAGCTGGCCAATACTCTGGTGATTAACATAGCCATGAAGGACCATGAAACCAAAGATTACATTATCTTAAGTTTTTTGCAAACATGCCTCGAGACAAAATATGGCTGGATTTGAATTCGTAGGAATATATCGCCATTTTGAAACATCTGTTAGTCTGTCATTTATGAATTTCTGATACACGATTACCAACAAAAACCTGGAAACTATGAGGTGAAGATCTTATTCATGCAAGTGCTACTGTCGAATCTGACCATGAAAAACTTATATCGAATGAAATTGTTAAAGAATGTTGTACCTTTCCAAATAATTAAGCAAGAAGAAGGGAAGCGCATAATTCCAATCTAGGAATATTAACAGATTTCAAAGGACTTACCTACTCGAGTTTTTGAAGTCAACAGATGTACATGAACATAATTCTTCTTGTCAATGGTTCGAACATAAATACAAGCTCTGTAAGCATTTTTTGAAGTATCGCAGAAACTTACTCTGAGGCAGAAACCATGAAGTTCCACGTTCCACAGATACTGGAGTCATTATAAGAAACATGCCTACGAATTTTTATAGAGTTTAGCTCCAATAAATCCGATTTGAATTCAATCCAACTTTGAATTAATTCCTTGGGAACTTCTTGATCCGTTGATCCCATGATAACTGAAGCTGATGTAACTCAAAGAGACTGCAAAAGAATTTTTGCTCTGACAACAACTAGACTTATATCAATCCCAAAGGATCAAATACCTTTACAATTTCTGATAAAATTACACGTTTAGTTAATTTTTTGCTACTATTCGAAAGTGAAATTTGGTAAGAAAAGCAATCATCATTGGAAGACCAAACCATACCCAAAATTTACTAGCTTCTGGCGCAGTAAAGTGAAGAATTTCTGAGTCTGAAATTGAAGCTCTAATAACTGCCAGAACTTCAGGTGAGTCTGATTTCCATTTGCGCAATTCAAAACACCCAGATTTCAGAATTATTGAAACTTCCTTGAGTTTCTTGCAGATATTAACTACTTCTGCAATTGAATTTGCACCTGACAACTAATCATCGACGTAAAAATCTCTTTTCATTGCTTGGGATGCAGGAAAGACTCAAATTTTCAGACTTTATTGCTAATTGTTTAAGATACCTTGTTTCAAAAAGGGTGCAGGTGCGCTGGCTGTTTTATATGTTTTTGTATTTAGTGAAAATACTTGAAGAGAACTTTCAGAATCAGACCGCCCGAAAATTAGCTGCAAGGGCATATAATAAATCAAAATTTGACGATACATTATGCATATTACATCACCTGATATAACATAAGAATGCTGTCGGAATCTAGAAGGAATCAAATCAAATCAAATATGCTTTATTGTCAGACAATTGTAAATACATTTCATTGACACTAAAGCCTAATCCTTAACACTAAAAACAAAGAACAAGTAAATAAGTAGAGGTATATAACGTAACTTTGTTGTGCTATATTCTCTGAGGACGCCATGATGGGGGGAGAAATGAGACTTCATTTTCATGCAACTTATGAGGAGACATGAGATATTGATATTCACGCATGAAGTCATCATACATTTGTTCAAATCTGGGGTTTGACCTAAACCTACTTTCCAAATTGAAAAATTTACTTTTTCCCACTTGTTTAGAATCTCCAAAAACACTAGCAGGTTCCTTCAAAGGCACTGAAACAATAAATCTACCATGTGAATCCCGCCTATGTGTTTCAACAAGGATTTTTCTTTTGATAAAAGAAAGTTTGTATGATCTCCTCTAACTCCCGAAACTTACTTTACTGATGTTGAATTTCAGAATTTCGATTGAAGTGACAAGAAGTTATATTTTGAATCGGGGTTCCTATTTAAAGGACCAGAAATCACCCAACCTAACTTTGTCTTTCGAATTATTGGTTTATTTGCGTCCTAACGAATCGAATTATTTAACAAGAGATCCCAAGACGCCGGCCGATTAAAATTTGAATACGCTAAATGAACATTGGTATTATTATACTTGATGGATCAAAATATACACCTGGAAGGTTACCTAGTGTACTTTCAGGAATAACCAAACAATGAAGATAGCCGAAAATTGCCCATGGCGTGACATGAAACGAATATTGCAGGATGTGTTAATACTTGATTCAGAATGACCAATTCTAACAACAGAAATGTTAACCTTCTCTAGGCATAAATCCAACCCCCTCACAAAGTCTTGAGAAATGAAGTTTGATATCGAGGTCCAATAGCGCCCTGGCTATATGTAACTTGCCATGTTTATCACTCACATTGAATAGCGCAGTTGCAAGAAGAACTTGACCCTTTGATAATTGATTAGAATAGTTATGTATTGATCTAAACCTGATCTGAAGCCTGAGGCGACATTGCCACCGTTGCCACCATTTGGAATGTCAAGTACGTATCACTGGATTGCTATTTTTTTTTTGTAAAGTGAAGACAAGTTTTTGGCAAGTGTTTGGCATCAAATACAGGTAAAGTATTGAAATTACCTATCTATACCGCACCATTTTTTGGTGCCAAAATACCTGAAAA